TTAGATAGCCACTTGCAAGCTTTTAAGACTCCAGACTACTACTCACCAAACTAGGATATAGAACGTTATCTTTATGAGCTATGTTATGCCAACTGACTGAGTTGCCCCCCGAGACTATGTCCTAAGCCCTCAAACCCAGTAACCCAATCCCATAAGGAGTTTAGTTATATCTAGGAAGTATCCGTAACTGTGCCTCTTATGTGCTTTATTTTATACATAAATATATATGTCGCAAACATGTATATACATTTGCCTACAGAAACACACATACATGTGCACCTGTATACTCAAATGTGCTTACCTATACATATATAACCATACGTATCTACCTATGTAACCACACATGTATTTTTTGGTTGTTGTTACAGTTGTTTCAAAATTGTATATGTTGCAGCTTTTACCAAAGTTGTCCCTTCTTCTAGTGGGGCACTGAGATTTTGACATGTCCATTTAAAACAAAAATACTACTTAAACAGATTATATATAATATTAGAAGAGTTATGAAATATATCTTGTACAAATAACCGAATTTTTTTAAAGTCATTAAGTAAACATGGAGAAAGTAATCAGACACGCACTGTGCACTTCAATTTACAGGAAGTTCAAAGACGGACAAAACTAATCTAAGTTGACAGAGGTCAGCAGTTCCCCTTGGGAGGAGTGGGCAGTAACTGACAGGAATGGGGCACAGGGGAGCCTTCTGACGGACTGGAACTATTGTGGATCTTGATCTAGGTGGTGGTTTCATACTTTCACAGGTACATACATATGTAAAAACTCACTGTGCTGTACACTCCAGACTTATACACATTATGGTATGTGAGTTATATCTCATATTTCTAAAAGTCCCTTTAAAATGTAATAAAGTAAGGTCTATAAAAGTTAAAAAGTTATTTGTTCAGCAACTTGATTTTTACAATGTCAGCTAATTTTCAGATTTTCATTTAGCTGATTAGGATGTAAGATAACCACATCAAACATAGTATAATTAAAATTTAATAAAGAAAATCATTAGAAGTATATCTAAATATTACCTCCAAATATGATATGCCAAGAGGGGCATATTGAGACCCAGTGTAAGCCACTCTGCTGCACAAAGAAACATGACACAGAAGAAGGCATGGATGAGGTACTCTGGAAGTACAAGCTGGAAGAAAAATACAAGCCAGTTACCCAAATGTCTTGCCATTAAGTCTAATGTCAGTTGCTTATATGGAAAACAGGTGGCAACCAAGTTTCCATAATGAAAAATCACTGTTTTCTTAGAATCAGAGATGAAAGATGCTACTGAATTTTTAACTTTTTACCAAAAGCAGGATTATAGGCAAACTAATCAGAGGATATAGCTTGCATTAAAAGAGTAAGACATGATTTAAACTTCAAACCCATATTGTTAGAACAACAGATTAAATTTACACAAAGTTACCACCCAGAATGATCTGGGTTATTTACTAATCAACTGGAATACTTTTTCTTTTCACCATTCAACAAATGACAAAAATACAAAAATGAGATATCTGATCGCATGCAACATGATAAAAAAAAAAAAAACACAAAAATAAAATTCCCCTTTAGAGGTATACACATTAGTGTTTTTAAGCCTTAACAGAAACCAGAAACGTTACATATACGATATTTAGCAAACCACATCACAGTACCACAAAAGTAATTGTTCAGTGGAAAGCCAATCAGCCAATAATCTCAGCACAATCAGGAAGGAACACTAATATGCACAAATGCAAACGGTGTGCTTTCTGCAATGTAGGAGGGAAAAGACTGAGTTCTTAACCACGAAATTGGAGGTTTCCGGGTTCTTGAGCTCGCGTTCTTACATGGCCTTTCCATTTCTTTCCAATGAAGTGCTACCGACACAGCATTATTTTCAGACCATTAGAAGCTCAGAACTCAAAAACAAAATAAATCTTTTGAAAGTAGGTAGTATTAGGTGAAAAAAAATTAATTCAAGCAAAATGTTTTTTATAAAATGATCAAGAGTTAAATAACTCTATGCCAAAATAAGCAAAGTAATGCTTTCTTTTAAATTATCTTTCTCATTCTAATTATCTAAAGATTTTTTAAAATAAAAACACCAAAACTTTTCTTCGCAACTTTCAAATAACCTCCTACAAGTCATAACTATAAAGCCAGTTTCTCAAACGTCTTTCTACTTCATACCAAATGAAAATTATACGAATCCTCAACACCATCAGATCTTTCCTGAGGGGAAAGCATAACTATAGAAATAATTATACTACATATTCAAGCTCATTTTCTAATACTCTCAAATTATGTTTTCCAATTTAAAGCTGTAAAGTGAAGTTTTAAGTCAATGTTTTCAATGAAATTCCAGGAAAACCAACTAATCTACACCACTAACCAGATATTTTCTACAAACGTAAGCAATATAATACATAAGAAAAAGTGAACGCTGCATACCAATACAGACTTGTAAATAGCACGAAGCTTTAAACTAACATTTATTTAAGATCCAAGTTAAACATCTGCAATCTCTAAACAAGAAAACATCCACAGGAAATCTTTGAAACTCAATGATTACAATGACAAACCAAGAAAAATATACATTTTATGAAGCGTCCCACTAGAACTGCTGTTTATAATACTAGTTTAAATTATATGATTTTTTTCTTTAAAATACAATTAGCCTATTTCAGCCCTCTCAAGCCAACTGATAACTAACAATACGAACTGTCATCCAAGGTTTCAACCTAGATTTACAGACCGAGTGGGGGAGAGAATGGTTCTGAAAGCTCGATCCCCACTGCTCTTACACGATGAACGTGATAGTGGTGAACAGTCTGCAACTCTACCAGCTCTGGTATGAAACAAACACCACACTCCCTGCTTCCCCTCGAAAACAGTTCAGAAATGGTTATTATCCATCTCTCATAAAAAAGTCCTCTCCAATCATTCTTTAATGATCAGATTTCCCCAGAAGTGACACAAAAACAATCCCACTTGAGAACCAAGGTTTACAAAAAAAGCTAGTATCCAGAAAAAATACCTCATGCAAATACAGCTGAAATGACAGTACTTAAACATGCAAATCATAATGTTATTTTGTTAAAGTTCACATTTTGAGAAAATAATGTTATTTGTCTTCCCCCATACTTTGGCAGAATGGTCAAAACAAACTTTAAATAGGGAAAACTGTCAGATGCACTGCTGTGAAGCCAATTATCGGCACCCTATCCAAAAAGCAACTTGAGCTGGTATTAAAACTTTCCTCCAACTATTGAAGCATTAGGATATCCCAAGCACATTTCTTTTCTAAGTGAGAATTTCCTTCCATTAAGAAAAGCCAGAAATCACACATATGTTAAAATGAAATTAGTCCCTCTTAAATTGACAGTAATTATGAAAATAAAAGCACTTGAGCTTCAAAAATCAAGCTGTCTTGATTCAAACTCTGGCTCTACTAGCTGTGTGATGTTGAGTGAAGTTCTTAAATCTCTCTGTTTCCTCCCCTACACATGGGAATAACAATACACCTACCACTTAGGACTGTCATGAGAAGTAAATGAAAAAATCCAGAAAAGGGCTCAGCACAGAGGCTGGCATTTAGGAAAGCCTGCATCTGGTTCCAGCTACTACTACCCTCATCATCATTGGTTATTTAAAGTCATGAAAAGCCAAAGAGGACAAAATGCTATTCATAAACAGCTGTCAAAAGGAGAAATTTCAGTTTCTTAATGTCTTCGTAACAATTAGTTCCAACTACTAAGGTTAAGATGTTTTCACAATGAACACGACCTACTTTCCAATGAGAAAACATACTCATCTTCTCATGTTTCATAAAAAGAGAAACAGCTAGTAAGTTAATACTTTTAACTGTACCTACATCAAAAATCTTACTGTACCAGTTCTTTAAAGACAAACTAGAAATCTATACCATCATTCGTATTTATTTGGGAAAAAGTGTTAACAGTAGTAAACTAACTTTAGATGCTTTTCCAGAAATTCCCTCTAGCCTGCAAGTGCATTATAGTTTTACACAACTAACATCTACACAACTTCTCATCGTCATTAAGTTTCATTTTAAAAATGAATTACTGTATTCTGTTTCTTGAAGACATACACACTGCTTTCTTACAAACAACCTTTTAGTTTCTGACCAATCAGGCAAAATCAAATCTATAAGCTAAAAGGAGAACCTTCCTAAGTAAGTAAACTAAGTAATTCAAGAAATATATGAAACCCCTAAGCACAATGGAGGTACATTATAACCATATCATAGCTCAGAAATTAGTGTAAAACAGGTCTGTTTCAGAAATTTAGGGTGTATATATACCAGAAATAATTATGTACACATTGTATACAAATTGTTACCTACAAAATTCTGGCAGCATGAGTCCAAAGGACAGCATTACTGCAAGATTCCAGAACCTAAACAGAGCAATCCATATAAAAGGCACTGAAAAAACATAAGCTGAATGACTGAATTAATTAATTCCAGAGAATGCATAACCAAAGATAAAACTAAATATGGTAGTTAAAGCCATACTAAAGATTCATCTGCATACTCTCTCACAATAAATCATAACCTTGGAATCATCTCACCATCTATTAAAGGCATTTTATTTTAACCAACTTTCAAGCACTGCACCAAACAATTGAATATAGAAGTGCCTATGGCTATAATGTTTAAAAAAAAAAAAATGCATAAGCATATAACAGCTTTCCCTACTTGACTGGGCCAGCAAGCAAACATTTGCATAAAATATGAAAATTCATGAAACTATAAACCTCAACAGGCATATGAACAAGCACACTGAACAAAACATCACAAATACAAATGCCTTAACCCTCCCCATGAAAATGAACGTAGCATTAAAACATTAAACTAAAAAGCAGTACACACCTTTAATGCAATTTTGACTCTTTTAATCTTTTTGACCTTTTCAACTGTCTTTGGCCGACAATGTAAAAAGCAGATTGGAAGAATGTTAGTATGACAGCTGACAAGATCACCAGCAGATTAATAACAGTCAGAATAGTCAAGCATGATAGGAAAGAAAATCTTTTTAATTCTGCCTCCTTCAAAAAGTAGAAATACATGATGCTACTGAGAATATTGGCCATTTTCAAAGTACTGTATCAAGTTAGAAGAAAATAAAACATTTAAAAATCTAAAGACAAAACCTTCATTATAACTTACAGGATTCAGGGTATTACACTGGTCTATAGGATTCTTGTAATCAGTCTTCAGTTCATCAAACGCTATAATCTAAAATAAAATTAAAATAGTTAGGACCAGTCACTTTAATAAAAAGCTGCAACCAACCTGCCCCATCACACCAAATAATTATTGATTAAAGTTAATAAACCAAAAGCAAACGTGCACCAACATTACATGTACCAATTTGTAAAGTCAATATACACTTTAAAAAAAAAGAACTGGAATCAGATTTAAAGAACTGAAAACACTTTTATGTTATTATTACTAAAACGGTCTGATATCCCTGTGATAAATGTAATCTTCAATTTTCAATTTCTTCAATGTCTCTGTACAAGTCATTTTCCCTACTTAAAATGATATCTACCCCCTACCCCAACAACTATTTGGCAAACTCCTCTTTATCCTAAAAAACCTTCTTCCTATGTCAACCCCTCTCTGTAGCTTTTCCTGACTCCCTTGGGCAGAAATAACTGCTACATCGACACAGCAGAGGGCTTTTTAATGCCGCCAATATGGTTTCTCACACTGGAGTAGAGTATTTATGTACACTAGACCATGCATGCCTCGGAGGAAGAAACGTGTTTTCAATCATCTGTGTGTGCTCTCGGGCGACACGAGAGAGGGATGCGCACGCTTCAATTTGTTCCCATTTGTGCTCAAACACGTACATTCCTGAGTTCTCCTGCTTCAAACTGGAAATGCAACAAATAGCCTCAGAAGAAAGGAATGCTACGTAATGGCTGGAACTACATGGACAGTTTCTGCCCTGAACAAAAGCACCCTGGCATGGGACTGCCACAGTCCCTGATCACCAGGCCCTGCACTAAGGGGCTGTGCCCCCTAAGGAGGTAGGATTTTTCTAATTCTTTTGCCCCCAAAGGCATCTTTTTCTAATTTACACAAAGGCACCATACAAGAAAGAGTAGCCCTGTTCGAAGCCACTATAAAAGTGATCAACCTGAACTCCTTTTCTGTCCTATGCATATTACTATCGTGTGCATATCACTTCATTGGTCATCAAACTGAAGACTGAAGATGGGTAAGCCTGGGCGAGGTCAGCTTCTTATGGCGTGATGAGTGAAACAGTTCTAGATGTGACCAGGGGAAAAAAATTGTCCATTTAAAATAAATGGCAAGAATGTTTTTGCCCACACTTGGAGAACTGTGGCTTTAACCTTGTTGTTAGTTACTGTTAAGTCGATTCTGACTCATGGCAACCCTGAGGGTTAGAGAGTAGAACTGCTCCATAGGGTTTTCTTGGCTGTAAGGTTTGCAGAAGCAGATTGCCAGGCCTTTCTTCTAAGGTACCGAGGGGTAGGTTCAAACCACCAACCTTTAGGTTAGTAGTTGAGCACAAACCATTTGTACCACCTAGGGATCCACTTTAACCTTGCTGTTAGGTGCCAATGAGTCAATTTTTGACTCATAGCGACCCCATGTGACAGAGTAGAACTGTCCCATAAAATCTTCTAGGCTGTAATCTTTACTAGAGCAGACTGCCAGGTCTTTCTCCTGTGGAGCCACTGGGTGGGTTCAAATCACCGACCTTATGCTTAGCAGCCAAGCACTCTACCATTTCACCACCACAGCTCCTTGCACTAAACCCAGAACTTCAAAGTCAAAATGTATTAAAAATCAAAATACAGCTACATATCACTTTGTGGCGCTAACTCAAGTGTCAAAGTCAGAAGCCAACAGCACTGAGTTTAAGGCAGAGCTACTTTAATTGCTGCCACCAGTTACCCAGGGGACAAAGAACCTAACAGCCTTCTCTTAATAGGTTAGTCGTATCTTTAGTGAGACAATGTTACTGAATATTATCAATAATCAGTAGAGATATATTTTTAGCTTTCAACATGCTGATTTATTTCCCTGTTAAAGCTCTTAAGATTCATAAAAAGATGTTTGTTTTTTAAATTTCTAGAATTTTACGAAATTCATCATTCTTCCTTAGTAAAAACTCTAAAATGAGAAGGAAAATAAACATTAAAATGTAAGCTCCACGAGAGCAACGATTTTCATTGTGTTCACTGTTATATCCCAGAACCGAGAATAATGCCTGGCACACGGTTAAGTGTTCAATAAGTATTTGCTGAATGGTAGGAGGAAAAAAAAAAAATAGAGAGAAATAGATAGCCCTGGGGATAAAAATGTACTGTACTCACCAAAAGGCATTTTCCTTTGCTAACGACTCCTAACACATATAAATGTTGAAAATATAAACGTGCAATTAGAACATACTCATTTCACATTACTTATGAACATTATTAGTCAGCTACTTGACATTAGCTGTGATATATACCCAATGCCTTCTAGTAATAAGGTGCAAAACAAGAATAACATTCATAAACAGAATTAGTGGCCTATGGAACAGGCTGCATAAGCTCAATTGCCACCATTACCTCCCACCATTACTAGCCCTTGCTTTTCCTCATTATATTTTCTTTTTTGTTATTCTTTCTTCCTCCTCCTATTCCAATAAGATTAACTGAAGCTTCTCCTTGGAGGGTGACAGAACCAACCGATAACCCTCAAGGACTAGGATTACCTCATCTGCGACGTGACAATCGTTGACTAATGGTGCCAGATAACCTTCAAGGGTTGCCAGTAAGAAGTTAGATCATCTGACACATGAGAAACGTGACCCACCAGCAGAGAAACTATAATCCTGTCCATATAATAACTTTCAGCCAGTCTCCAGTCAGGGAGACAGCTCTTTTGGAGGAGCTCATTCCCCTCTGTCTCTTGTGTATCAATATACAATAAAACCCTCGTGCTGCTCACTTCACCCGTCTCAGTATTGGCTTTTGCGGCAGGCGGCTCAAATCCGCGATTTGCAGTAACACCTATAACAAGATCCAATTTAACAGCAGAGTATAAAATCTGTCTTTTAAAACTAACTTTTCTTTGATTAGCCATTTCTTCAGGTGATTTCAAGGGATCTTTTAATAACTATGTTGCTGAATGGGCTTCTGTTTTGTGAGTGCTATAAGCTAACCAAAACTCTTCTGAGAAGATTCTTAAACTAGTGGTTTTCAAATCTTTTGTGGCATGACAGTGGCTTTCACAAAATTTTCCAAAGAAATGTAAAAACAATAAAATAGATACAGCTACTGTGGCCTGTGCCCTTCCACCCAGGAGGGTTCTCCCTGCCGGCCCTAAATCCCTAAAAGATGCCAAAGTACACAACCCAGAATAACTTCAAACTTGATACGTGCATTTAGGGAATGATTTCTGCTTTTTTTTTTTAAAATGTAAACAAGATTTTTGGAATTTATACTTGAAATTTCCAAATGAGCCTTCTGAAAGATATGTAAACTAGCTAAGCAAATAAACTTAAGGTTAGGTGGATAATAATAGAAAAATTAAAACTATTTAGAAATGCTTCCCAAAGGATGCAGTAGTAATCCTCTGAACCCCTAAGAAATCTCTAAGCGTAAAAGCTCTCCACTAATCTGTGGAGTAAATACTTTTTTTTTTTTTTTTGGTTAATTCTATAACAGGGCTTAAAATTAGCTACTTCACTCAAACACACATTCATTTCAAGCTGAAACTACATTATCCATTTTAAAAGTGCAGTTTGAGTTTTCCTTAAGTAAAACACAACCTGAGTTGTTTCAAAATGTTAAAAAAAAAAAAAAAAGCCATCCCACAGAGCTCTTCTGCAAATTCCCATCTTCCCAGAATACAAGGAGCACCTGTCAAGCAGAGTAAGCGTTAAAGCTACATCTACAGATTCCTAAACTGGGAGGAAACCACACATTGCAGTTTCATACCACCGTCATTAAGGCAGGGCCAGTGTGCATCCCGAAGTATTTATTGTTCTTCCACTAAAGAAGCGCCTAAGAAGCTAGGCATCCTTTCTACTGGTTTCTACTGACAAGCATTTTGAAGTAAGTTATTTCTGACAGGAAACAGCCTACATAAGCATTTCCCCACTACACAACAGTCGGGTTTTAAAATAATTACAAACGTAACTACACTGGTTAGCAAAAAGGAACGGATTTGTGCTATTTCTCCAATTAAGAGACCCTTTTTGCACAAGACACTCCTGCCATTTAAATTACTCTACTCTCTATGTGTTCCATAAACAAATCCTTGTTAGGCGAATGACGAAACCTGATTTAAAATTTACATCGGAGAAAATATGCCCAATCATTCAAATTAAGACCAGTATTCCAGAATGCACGGGAATATGGAGAATACAGAAGAAACGAGGTAAATTTTTAATAGATGTTGATTTCCAGAGGGCTCTCAATGCTTCCAATTTTGTGCCAGAGAAAAAGGAATCCTTAAAAATCTCTTGCAGAACTATGTCACAGAGAACTTATGACTTGTTCATTACAAAGACCAGTAAGGATTTGCTTCTACCTTGCAAGATAATATGAGTAACATTAAGTAAAACTGTCCTAGAGAAGGTTAAGGTTTCTGAGCATTTTCAAAAATAAACTGAAATTCCCTCTACTAAATCAAACTTCCCAGAACACAGACACGACTTGGAAGACAGTCTCTTGAGAAACCGGCGGTTCAAAGCGTGATTTACGGCGAAAGAGCGGAGATGCAGTAAACAAAGTAATCAATCCAACCTGAATCAAAGTTCACCGGTAGCAGGAATCCGAAAAAAGGTGATTCTACTTTAAGCGCACACAAGTGCTGAAAAGTAGAGTTGAAAATCAATCTAAAGTAGGTTGTAACTATCTCATTTTGGCAATAACTCCTGCGGAAACCCCACCACCACCACCAAAAAAAGGTAATCTGCATTAAATAACAAAAACTCGGAAAACTTCATACATGCCAAGTACGCATCATGCCTTCCGCGCCCGTGACATCCTCCCGGGGAATGCGGGGCCGAAGGCCGGTGCGAGCGAACTGCGGTACGGCCGGCCCGGCCCGGCCCGGCCCGGATTGCGGCCGCCCCACCCAGCCGAGGAGGAGCAGCGGTGCGCGGGGCCTACGCCAGGGCACTACGAGTGCATCCATCTGACGACCGCAAGCCCGGCTCGTCCTGCAGCCCTCCAGCCTGCGGACGGAAAGCGCGCGTACCCTTGTCGCGCGGCCAGCGCTGTCCCCGCTCGGCCGCATCCCGGATCGCGCCGACTCCCGGGACCGCCGCTGCCCCGACCGCGAACCCAAGGCGAGAAGAGGCTGCGCAGCTGCCTGGCCCTCCCTCCCCCGGCCCAGCTACTCACGTGCCAGATGGCGAAAAAGATAAGCGCGGCAGTGAGCAGCAGCGCCAGCATGTAGCAGAAGGCCGAGAACGTGAACGCCATGGCCGGGGAGGAAGCGCAGCGAGCAGCGCCGGTGGCAGCGGAGAAAGGCTGCGCAGGGCCCTCTGGGTAAAACCATTCACTTCCCCCGGCCACAGCCACGACCGCCGCCGCCGCAGCAGCGTCCGCCCTCCCAGCGCGCCTGCGCAATAGCCCGGGCCCGCCTGCGCCCTCTCATGGCCAGCGTGTGCATTGCTCTCATGTTATCCGCACAAAAACCAAAACCAAAACCAAAACCAAACCCCGTGTCCCTCTGGTCAATTCCGATTCATAGCGACCCTATCATCCGCACAGTTCATTAATTTATTTTTCCTTCCTTTCTTTGTTTATTCTTTGAACAAATATTTAATGCGTGCCTAGTATGTTCCAGGTACTGTGCTTCCCCCTTGAAATGCAAAGATTAATAATATAGTACCTACGCTGTAAGAACTTAGTATAATGCCAGAAACAAACACGTAAACAAGTAATTATAGTATTATAACTCTATAAGCGGATGTCTGCGGGATGTTAGGAAAAGTTAAAGAATGGTACCAGCCCGTCCTGAAGCGTTCAGGGCAGGCTCTTTGGAGTGGGTGTTTCCTAAGCTGACGCTCACATGATGAGTAGAAGCTGCCCAGACAAAGAGAAGAAAGAACAGATAGTCAAGTTCAGCACAGAGCTTCCAACCGGTTCGAAGCTTCATTCTAGTTGACACCACTGCCGAGAATTTGTATTTCTTTTTTTCAACTGTGCTTTAGATGAAGGTTTACAGAGCAAATTAGTTTCTCATTAAATAAATAATACACATATTGTTTTGTGACATTGGTTGCCAACCCCACAACGTGTGGAGAATTTGCATTTCTAACAATTTCCCTGCTGAGAATTTTCATTTCCACCCCAGATATGAATCAGAATTTACAATGTAACGAGATCCCCAGGTGATTCTTATGCATAGCTTCCTAGGAACTTGTTAGAAATGCAAATTCGTAGCAGACGTTCAAACCAGCCTAGAATGAGCAGCAAAAGCACAGATGTGGAAAAAAAAAAAACCACCAGCAGTTCTAAATTACTAAAACACAAGTACAGGACAGAATGTTGGGAGACAGGGTTAGAAAAGGATTGGCAAGAAGTCAGATTAGAGAGAGCTTTATGTGCCTTGTTAAGGAGCTCAGACTATATATCCCATAAGCCTGTGTTTTTCGAGCTTTGTTTCTCACCACGTACAATTAGAAAGACTTTTCATTGTAACTTACTGGAACATTATATACATATGGAAATCAAAGAGGTAGCCATTAGATATAGAAACATTGATATATATATAAAACAAACAAAAACTTCACAAAACAATACTTACGATCCATGAGTACTTACAATTCTATTGTTTTATTTTTAACACTAGTTGTGACCCACAGAACTGATTTCACTACCTACTAAGTGATTAGTGCCAACGGAAGTGGAAATCATTGAAGGCTTTCAAGCAAGAGAAGAGCATGTTTAGATTCACATTTAACATCACTCCACTAGCAAATTGTATACAGAATGGTTTAGAAACAGGATCTATCCAGTGCTGTTCAATAGAACTTTCTGAAATGAATAAAATATTATTTATTTGTGCTGTCCAATACAGTAGCCACTAGCCACATGCAACTATTGACTACTTGCAATGTGGCTGGTATGACTGAGGAATTGAACTTTAAATTTTCAATTTTCCTTAATGCTAATTAAGTAAAATTTAAATAACCACATGTGGCTAGTGGCTATTCTATTGGACAGTACAGGTCTGTACCACCACGATTACATGGTACCTTTGTGCAAATTAGAAAAGATTCTCCAGATAAGCAGAGGTCCACACCAGGGCATAGGAATGCAGGCTACCTTCAGCTCCACTCACCCCCTTGGCCACACACTTTGTGCAGTACGCAAACCACCCAACCGTGCACAATGACCTTGATTAGAGGAGTGTGAGATTAGAAGCAGGGAGCCCATCACAATGGTCCAGGCAAAAGTTACTGTGGATCTAAACTAGAGCAGTAGAAGCTGGGATAGAAAGAAGAAAACGTATTTGATGGTATTTGGGAGATAAACTCAGTAGGACTTGATTGATTAGATGCAGGGGTGAGAGAAAGGAAGGGGTCAAAATGACTTATTCAGTACTACAGGCCCCAGAAGTATAACAACATACTACATTCGGTTTGAGGTGAAACAGGATTTTGGAAACAGTAGTTATGGTGGCACAACATTATGAATGTAACTTATGCCACTAAACTATACTTGAAAATGGTTAATATGGCAAATTTTATGTTATATATATTTTACTGAAATAAAAAAAGAAGATGAAGAAAAGGAATTTTAAAAATATAATGTTGGGCAATATTTGTCCAGGAGAACTCACAATCTGAGAGGCAAATGCAGTTTTCTAGGCTCAGGGGAAATAGAGTTTGTGGAGAGTCATTCAAGCTAAACCATGAGATACAGCCCATTTCTTTCAGGGCTTCAAACCAGTTTGTTCTGGTTCAAACCCCTGCTGAGAATTTGCATTTCTAACAAGTTCCCAGGAAGTTATATGTAAGAATCACCTGGAAATCTTGTTAAAACGTAGATTCTGATTAATTATATCTAGGGTAGAAATGCAAATTCTCAACAGGGAACTTGTTAGAAATACAAATTCTTAGCAGGGGTTCAAACTGGAACGAACCCATTTAAAGCCCTGCTTTCTTCTAAATGAATCCCATTTACACCTTGAGAAGTGATGTTTCACCACCCAAAACCAGGAGATCCTCCAACCTTTCCGCAAGCTTTTCTCCAGCTTCACTTGAAATGTATCTTTCCCCTGCCTGGTAACTATGTCTAGCACCTGATCTCACAGAATGGAACTGTGTCCTGGGGACCCATCCTTAGTTCTGGAAGGGGCAACCCACATTTCACCTGAGGAGATAGAAGGAATTGATAAGAGAAATTTTTGTCTTCCCCAAAACCCACTACTGCTGTTACATAAAAACCAAATCACTCTGCTTCATTCAAGGGTAGCATTTTAGGTACAGGTAGTCCCAGACCTAAAACGGGGTTCCCTTCCCATGATAACTGCCCTCTTTTTTTTGTCATTATTACTGCCTTTTATTGTCAGTATCTTTATAAATCCGATCTTTATTTGTCTTTGAGGGTTAGAAACATTACGTATAAACAAACTTACAGATATATTTTAACACATACATACGTTAAAAAATACACAAATCATAAAAATTTACTCTGATGATGAAGACAAGTTAGACGATGTTGGCATTTTAACTCCGCTTGTGGAAGGTTCTGGATTCTCTGGATTATCTCCGGGAATGGGGATGGCATTTCTAGTCAGAAGATTAGTGAGAGTTGTCTGTATGGTCCTTTTCTTTTTCTCTTCATGTATTTCTCAGTAACATCTCACCGTTTCCCGAAGCTGCCTATCAAGTTTAGCAAAGCAATCAGCATTTGGGTCCATGTTTTCAAGTAACCGAAGCCACTGATTTAGTTTAGAAAAAAACTCCAGCTAATCCTTTCACTGTAAAAATTTATGACTTCTCTCCTTCCTCTTCCTCATTATTTCTTTCTTCTTTAGCATTTCTTTCCTCTTCAAAATCCATTAAGCGTTGCTCTGTCAGTTCCCCTTCTTCACGATCTGTGAGCTACTTCACATTGGCAATATCAAGCTCTAAATTCAGTGTTCGTGTCATATGGGCGATTTTTCCACCGATCTCTTCCATCATATTGTCCTGATTAAATGTTTGGGGCGTGTTCACATAACTCAGGAATTTTTTCTATATTCCCTGTGTGCATTTTCCCGGAACTTCCTCCCAGGAAGCTGTACTAACGATAAACCGAAAAAACAAACCTGTTGCTGTCGAGTCGATTCCGACTCATAGCGACCCTATAGGACAGAGTAGAACTGCCCCATAGGGTTTCCAAGGAGCAGCTGGTGGATATGAACCAGCCAAGGTCTTAACCACTATCCCACCAGGGCTCTAGACAATATTTCCCATTGCCGTCGAGTCAAATGCGGCTCATAGTGACTATAGGATTAAGCAGCTGTAAATGATTAGAGAATGCACCCATTTTAATGAGGGCAAAGGGCAAATTAGATGAGACAAGGCATTTGGTGGAGAAAATAATGGGTTTGCTGACATTTTGGGTGTCATTACAAGCAGTGAACAGTCTATACCCAAACCATTCCCAGTCATTTTGGAAGTTGCCTTAACCCTTTCAGTCCATGGGGGTACTTTTGCAGTACATACTGAATTAAGTTCCTGCCCCTACTTGTGTACTTGGATAGGGCCGGATGATATTTCAAAGACGTACTAATGATTCTCTCCCCCCTACCCCAAACAAATTTCCTTTTTTCACACTGTCTCCCCATCAAATGCCTCCACTCCCCCAGTGCCCATGCTCCCAACCAAGGCAGCTAGACATATGTCAGCCACTATTGGTGTTTTGTGCCATCCAGTAGATTCCAACTAATAGCGACCCTATAGGACAGAGTAGAACTGTCCCCATAAGGTTTCCTAGGCTGTAATCTTTACTGGCCCCCATGCATCTGTCAATTTGTTGCACTGTAGGGGCATGTGTATTACTATGATGTTGGAAGCTATGCCACTGGTATTTCAAATAGCAGCAGGGTCATCCATGGTGGACAGGTTTCAGCTGAGCTTCCATACTAAGACAGACTAGGAAGAAGGTCCTGGTGGTCTACTTCTGAAAAGAATTAGCCAGTGAAAACCTTATGAATAGCAGCAGAACATTGTCTGATATAGTGCCGGAAGATGAGCCCCTCAGGTTGGAAGGCACTCAAAATACTACTGGGGAAGAACTGCCTCCTCAAGGTAGAGTCAACCTTAATGACGTGGATGGAGTCAAGCTTTCGGGACCTTCATTTGCTGATGTGGCACAATTCAAAATGAGAAGAAATAACTGCAAACATCCATTAATAATTCGAACGTGGAATGTATGAAGTATGAATCTAGGAAAATTGGAAATCCTCCAAAGTGAAATGCATAAACATCAATATCCTAGGCCTTAGTGAGCTGAAATGGACTGGTACTGGCCATTCTGAATCAGATAACCATATGATCTACTATGCTGGGAATGACAAATTG